ACTGTAACTGGTTTTAACTTAGTAAAATATTTGAAACTTAGCAGAGCTGAATTTAAAACTGCATAGAGTTATCTTATAGTCCTTAAACAGTAGCTACATGTACACATTTTACCTGTTTGCTTAAACTTGATTTCTTTCCGAGACAGGGTTTTTCTGTGACTTTGGAGCCTGACCTGGAATTTGCTCTGCCGACCAGGCAGGCCTTGAACTCACAAAGATCCATCTGCCTCTGCCTCCAAGTTCTGGGTTTAAAGGCATGTGCCACCAATGCCCTAAACTTAACTTCTGAAAACATAAATTGTAACATCTTATAATACATTAGCATCTTTTATAAAACAAGAACTTTACATTGTCAGGCTTTGCTTAAAAATAATTCTAAATTGAAGCTCTTTAAGTACAAACATTAATAAAAACAAACATTTAATAAAACTGGTTTTAAAAAGAAGTTTAAATTCCCTTAATGTCTTTCTTTAATATGTAGAAGCATTAACATTTTAAATCTTAATTGAAAAGCTTGTTTCTAAGATGGAACCTCTAATTTCCATGCGGTCATCTTTAGTCAAGATGGCAGTTTAAGTATCTTTTTTCAACTTCAGCAAAATGGCTACCATTCAGCCATGTGACCAGTTTGCCATGCGGCTGGCTACAAAATTTCGGTAACTTGCACCATTTGTTTAGCTACATGCTTGTAACAGAATTTAGGTTATGCCAGGAAACAGAACATTTTAAAACAAATATGTATAAATTACTTGAGAAATAAACAGGACTTTTTAAACAGAATTAGCTTAATATGGTTACAATTTTAATTTATATTACCAATTTTTAAAATTTACTATTTGTAGACATGAGAAACCATAACAAACAGTTTACATTTTTCTCTTTTAACAACCTTTTCTCTGACCTTCTATGACTTGCTTTAACCCTCTATAACTTTCTATATACCTTTGGTTTATTCCTCTGATTTTCTTAGACATTCTTAGACATTTTTTTTCTTTTTCTGTCTTTATTATTTTAGTCTCCTACATTTTTTTTCTCATTTCTTAGTCAACATAAAAACTCTTATCAAAATCCTTCTTAAGGTTATTTAATAACTTTAAGGCGTTTTTTTAGAACATCTGGATCAGGCCAGATGAGCTCCATGTGCTCAGAGAAGAGACCTGGTGGGGGGGGGGTGCTGCTGCTGGTAATCCCAGACCCTCTTCCAATGCAGGGGTGGGAAGAAGACCCCGGAGTTTTCCCTGCATACCATGTGTGTGGAGCACAGAGAAGGCCGGGCAGCTAGGCAGATGGCGGCCTTGCAGCCATGTTCCTTCAGAGCAGGGAAACTCCTGCTGCAAGCCAGGACCCATGGCAGGATGGTAGTTGGGGCAGAGACAATCCCACTTCATATGCCTCATAGACCGACAGAGGGGATAGAAAAAGACTCACCTACATCGGCCAGGCTCAGCTGTGAGTGCCGCAGCAATGGTTGGAATTCAGAGTAACAGCCTCAGGGGACTCCTCCGCAGCACACTCTAACCCTAACCCGCAGCACATGGCAGGGAAAGTCCGGTCCCACACCACGTGCTCAGGGCAGCAAGAAAAGACCCCTGACCCATGCATACCATGTGCTTGGTCAATAGGGACAGAAAGAGATGTTTAACACAGACTAGGGTCCTATTCGGAATTTCATTAGATGGCGAGCCTCATGGAGATCAACTTGATCCAAAACCAAGTCTCCCCTACAGATTTCGGAAGGCTGCCGTCTGAACCTCCACGCTAAACAATTCTTGTAGGCCTACTCACAGATGTCGTTAGAAACCCTAATATAGGACCTTTACAAACTTCATTCCAGAAGATTATTATTTTTTAAAAATGCTTTTTATTTGTGCGAGTGTTTTGCTTCGATATATGTGTGTGTGCAAGCCTCTATAGATCCTATGGAAGCCAGAAGGGGGTGTCAGATCACTTGGAACTAGAGGTAAAGCTGATTGTGAATAGCCATGTGGGTGCTGAGAATAAAACTTGAGTCCTTTCCAAGAACAGCAAGTGCCCTTAACTGCTGAACAATCTCTCCATTCCCACAGGGGACTGATCTTAATGTGTTGTATTTGGCATGATGGTACCTGACCCAACACTCACAAGGCTCAGGTAGGAGGATAGGAAGTTGAACCTGGAATACAGAGTAAGGCTGTTCATAAATGGAGGTAAGGAAGAAAGGAAGGGGGAAAGAAGGAAGAGGAAAGGGGGAGGAAGGAAATTCAGGATCAAAGTAATTGCCAAAAGCACCAGTTAGTCTTTACAACATATTCCAAAAGTCTTTAGGTGGAAAAGCATCATAAGAACCCTTCTTTAGAAGAATATCCTTTGTGGTTGAAAGGAGATAGAATACCTAAGGGATTCGCTTATTTAACAGTTGATCAACAACTAACCATTTGAAGATGTGTCAGGTGAGTCACAGACCTTCCCTCGGGCAAAGTGTAAGTTGGTCAGCAGGACTCTTCTTTCAACAGCAGCTCCATCATCACAGAGCTCCCACGTCCTCTAGAAACATGGAGAAAGTATTTAAAGACTATCTAGTCAGGCATGGTGGCTATGTCTTTAATCGAAACATGAAAGGGATGGGGGCAAAAGTAGGTGGCTGTCTATAAGTTTGAGGTCAACCTGGTAACCTGGTATATGTAGTCTGTTCTAGGGCAGCCAGGGCTACATAGAGAGAAATTTTCAAAAATAATGTTTGTTTGATCTTATTCCCATTTCATAAGCTTGGCCCTGAGTCTTGCTTACTTACATATTTCTCTGACATTCTTATCGTTTCTCCATACTGGGCACTTCCTCCCTAGTCATATTTATGTGTGGTGTTTATCCTGCTTTACATAACATAACTTCAATCCTACTCATTCTTGTTTGTGATGTGTGTGTTGTGTTGTATGTGTGTATATGTCTGTTGGATGTGCTGCATGTGTATATATATGTATGTGTATGTGTTGTGTGTGGTGTATGTGTATGGTGTATGTGGTGTGTGTGTGTGTGTGTGTGTGTGTGTGTGTGTGTGTGGCGTATGCACTTGTGTAAGGGTGTGGATGTCTTCCTCTATTTCTCTCTATGATGAGAATAAGATAAAGTGTGACTGAGTAGTTGGACAGACTTCAAGCAAGAACAAAAGGCAATGCAGCATTAGTCTTGGGAAGGCAAGAAAGACAAGAGTGGGTGGTGGTAGACACTAAGCTAGGGCATGAAAAGAAAGTGTTCTCTAAGCAACAGGACTAATTAGGGAGCACCGATCACACTGGGAGGTACATGGCTAATTAGGGAGCACTGATCAGACTGGGAGGTACATGGGTGCTGCACAAAAGCTTGAGGATTTTAGGATGTGAAGTCACAAAAAATCCATGACAGAATGAGAGTTATCTCCTTAGAAAAAGGTTATAAGAGAAGTTTATTCTTCTACTTGTCTTCAGAGGGAAATTGGAGTGATACAAATATTTATAGATTTATAAAAACATGCTTGTTTAATCATTCTTGTAGTTAACAAGACTCCCAGAAGAGCTGACTAGTATGACTCAACTGAAAACACTCGACATCTCCAACAATGCCATCAAAGAGATTCCAAGAAATATTGGGGAGCTAAGATATCTGGTTAGTCTACATGCATACAACAATCAAATAAGTTCTTTGCCACCATCCTTCCTGTCCTTAAAAGTTCTACAGCACCTAGACCTCAGAGGTATGTGTCAAGCATAATAGGTAGTAAGTAGAATCTGTAAGTAGAACACTGATGCTAAATTGCAGTTTTTGCTGGCAAAGAAGTCAGACAATGCATTAAGTGGGCATCAGAGGGAGAGGGGCACACAGTCCTTTCTCCAGTTACAGGAGATGAGCACAAAGCTGAAGAACTGGTTTCTTGCCCTGAAAAGAGCTCTATAGATGGAAACAGAAGGAAATAGGTGCTGTGGGGGGGAATGGGAAATGGGGGGGCCTTTATGTGGGAAGGGAAAAAGAGGGCAATACAGAGGGAGAGGCAAGCATGAGTAACACTAAGGATGTTGGAAAAGACATAAGAGATCATATATTATGTTGACTTAGAATTACATGTAATATATGTGTATACATAGATACATAGTTTAGATGAAGATATGCTATTTGGGGGTGATGATGCTCTCCACTAGAGCCATGGACTATCCAATGAAAACTATAGTACCAGACATGAGAAATATTTTTTTCTGGCTATTGGTCAAGGGAACCCAAGAGAATTCCAAAACCATGAATTTGAACTATTGCCATTGCCTTGGGATCTGAAGGTTAGACCCTCAAGTCACCACATACTTTGGACACAGGATTTGGCACAGTTGAGCTGGAATGGACCTGGAGGTCTCCACCCCCAGAACTAGCTCTCCTAGTGTTGGGAAGTGTTATGCAAGCTGTCAAGGGAGAGGAAGAACCAGTAGTCCTACACAGCTGTAAAGTTTACAAAACACAAGAATGACTGGACCAGCAAGATATCAAAGGGCAACAGTGTACTTTCATCCTTGAGGTAACTAACAGTTGTCTAACTGGAGGGTATTGAAGCCTAGTAACGTAAACCTAGCCAACTACCAGTGGCTACCAGAGAGGACTGTCTACTCTTGGCAGTTGCCTCAATCAATATAATTTTACTTTTTAAAAATACTTATCCCTTCACCACGGATAAATGTAGCTCTCACCCCTCATGAAAGCAGCTTCTTTTTGTAACAGATGGACACTTTTAGAGAGATCCACACCTGGTCAGAATGCAAGGAATAAGTGACTGTGGGGCCCAATCCCAATTTATGCATCTGTCATGCAACACTTACACCTGAGGCTTAGGGGAAATTGTGCAAGTGGGGGCAGGAAGATTCTAAGAGTCAGAGGCTTGGGATGTCTGCTGTTCCAAAGTGTCCCCTAGGCATCACAGGGAAGATGATGCACCGATGGACTCTCAACAATACAGTTGCTTGAACAAGACCAGCATAGTGACAGCTTAAGCTGCCAGGCCACTGTAGACGGGAAATTCCACGTGGCTCCGCCACGCGGTGAAAGGCTGCCAGTGACTACAGGAGGAGGAAGGTCACATGGGCAAGCTCCCACATAGGTTGTCCGCCCTGGACCTGGTACATATGAACAAAGCTAAATGGACTCAGTGGGTTACATACACATATATGCCATACTCATACATGTACACACATATACTAATAATTAAGGAGGAGATAGGGGGGGGGGGGGGGGGGGGGGGGGTTGGAAATGGGAGACAGAGAGATCGGTGTGATGTCGATGCAGCACTTTTGCCTGAAGTTCTCAAAAAAAATCAACTGTTACAAAAAGAGTGCAACAAAGGAAATGAAATACAAACACACAAACAAAAATTCCCCCAGAGCCTTCTGCTCTATTGGAGACTGGCACTCCCAAGTGGAAGTACTTGAAGGATATGCTTGAGATAGGGCAACAGCAAGACAGAATGGCCAGGGGCATTGCACCCTGATCTTCAGCCTGGGGCAGTTCTCTCTTGTTCCACATTAGAATTTGAAAATAAAACCCACTCTGTCAATCAAGGTCCAAACAAAAGCTAGGGTGGTACAGATCCGTGGAAAGCCCCCCCCCCCAAAGTTCCAGTCTAAAGGCAGTCCAGTCTTAGATGGGCTAAAGAGAGTTAAAGTTGCTACAGAGGTACCAATGGCAGGAAGCAGTTTCCACCTGTGACTGAGCAAAATGAATGAATGGGCACAATATTGACTCTTTAGAGCAGTGATTCTCAACCTTCCTCATGCTTTAACCCTTTAGTACAGTTGTGGCCACCAACCATAAGATTGTTTCCATTGCTACTTCATGGCAGTAACTTGTTAAACACGGCAATGTAAATATCTGTATTGTCCAATGGTTTGAGGTGACCCCTGTGAAAGTATGGGTTGATCCCAAAGGGGTCATGACCCGCAGGTTGAGAACCACTGCTCTATATTGTAATGATGGAATGATCAAGCTTTAAGCACAGAGCCTGGTGTAGTGATTTTTAACAGATGCTGCCATCTCTGTCCCCCAAAAGATAGAATAGCAAGCAAATGAAAGAAAAGTAGATGGGCACATTGGGCTCAGGGAAGACAATTCCTCAGTGACACAGGCCAGATTTATTTGCAGTCTACTGTACAGCCACAGTGCTGTTCTTACACCCGACCCTCCTGGACAGCCTATTGCCTGGTTTTGCTGCTAGCATTATAGCTGTTGTCTATAACAACTTTGATTCTGATGCATAGGCCCTCTGCCAGATCAGTAATTAAATATTTTGAATAGCATCACTGTCTACATCACCAAACAGAACTCTGAAAGGATCCTTAAGCTGTGGTTTTGTTTCTATTTATTTTCCTTATTTGTAAGGTGGCATACAGAGTAATAAGCTTTATTGCGGCATTTTATACATATATACTTGTCTTAGGGTTTCTATTGCTGTGAAGAGACACCATTACCATGGTGACTCATATAAAGGAAAAACATTTCTTTGGGTTGGCACAGTTTCAGAGGTTTAGTCCATTATCATCATGGCTTGACATGGTGGTATCCAGGCAGACACGGTACCTTTCTCTATACCTGTTCTAATTTCCTGCCTGGCTAACTCCTGCCTGTCCATTGGTCAAAACAGCTTTATTCATCAACCAATAACAGAAACATATATTCATAGCATAGAGAAGGGCATCCCCCATAGACATGGAGCTAGAGAGTCACCATCCTACAGCTTGTCTTGCTGCAACAGGAAGTGGTCGGAGATACTGGGCGTGGCTTGAGCAAATAAAATACCTCAAAGCCCACTGCCACAATGACACATTGCTTCCAGCAAGGCCACACCTTCTAATAGAGCCACTCCCTTTGGGGCCATTTTCTTTCAAACCCCCACAATACCATTATACTTTGGTTTTATTTCTCTCCCCCCCACCCACTCACCCATGCTACTGCCTGACCCTCTTTCTACTCTCAGGTCACATGTACCCTGTTACTCTTTTTGTCTTTCCTCTCCTTTTCTGTAAGGTCTTTTCCCTTCCTCATGGTTCTCTTGGTACTTCCGTCACAGGCATACACAGTTATGTGCACATGTGTGCATAGGTACACACACACACACACACACACACACACACACACACACACTTACTTCAATCTAGAGTCGTGGGGTTGAAGAGTTGGCTCTGCAGTTGGGAGCGCCTGTTACTCTCGTAGAGGACCCAGGTTCGATTCCTAACACCCACATGGCACCTCGTAACTGTCTATAATAATTCCAGTACTAGGGGATCCATTGCCGTCTTCTGATCTCCATGTGAACCAGGCATATTTATGGTACAATACATACTTGCAGCCAAATGCTCATACACATAAAATAGTAATTAAAAACTGAAATCTGGAGTCTGCATATGAGAAAGCTAGAGCTTGTCCTTCTGACTCTGGCTTACTTTGACTAACATAATGATCTCCACTATTCATTTTTATACAGATACCATCATTTCATTTGTCTTTTGGTGGTTAAATAAAATTCTCAAATGTACATCTGTCTTATCTATTCATGTCTGGATTAACATCTCAGTGGGTTCCATTTTGTACATAGTACACCAGTAAACACAAGCAGACCATGGTGTGTTAGCTAAGAGTCCTCATGTGTATCCCAGGATCAGTATCACTAGTTCAATGGATGGGTTTTCTCTGCTTTTGCTTTTGTAAGGACTCCCATTACCACTGATTTCCATAGTGTCTGCATACTTTGTATGCCCACCGGCAGTGGATAAGAGTCCCTCTTTCCGCATAGTGATTTATTGATTAAAAACATTTTTACCAGATTATGATATCCAAATTGAAAGAGTATACATTGCCAATCTGCTGCTTAGCAGATTTTCTAAACTGAACAAACCCATGCTTGGGAACATGGATCAAGAAACAGACATTCCACAGAACTGCCCTGCTTTCCATCCATTAACCTCAGCCAGAGTTAACCATGATCATGGTTTCCAACAACTTGCTTTAAGCAAAGATGTAAATAGTATATTGTGCACTTTTCTTTTACTCAGCATCATAAAGATCACTGAGGTGGTTTGAAAGAAAATGGCCCCCAAAGAAGTGACACTGTTAGGAGTTATGGCCTTGTTGGAGGAAGACATCACTTTGGGGCGGGCTTTGAGGTCTCTTTTGCTCAAGCTTCCCTCAGTGTGACTATCAGTTGACTTCCTGTTGCCTGCAAGATGCAGCACTCTCAGCTCCAGCACCACATCTGTCTGCTGCTGACATGCTCCCTGTCATGATGACAATGGACTGAAACTCTGAAATATAAGCAAGCCCCCTCAATTAAATGTTTTCCTTTATAAGAGTTGCCATGACCATGGCGTCTCTTCACAGGAATAGAAACCTAAGATAATCACTTACACTGTTTTCATGTGGTTGAATGCATTAATTCATGCTGAATATAACCCACCATGTGGACATACTCTTATTTATTCTACTGCTGACAGACATTTGACAAACAAGCGATTGAAATCAGAAGAAAAACCTTATTATTTAAATTCTGTAAAATCTGAAACGTGCTTTATTTGTTTAGTATATAATTTACCTTCATAAACATACTAATATATATGACCCAGCCATTGTATTTCTTGTTATTTACCTAAAAACAAAGTTTATGTCCATACAAAATGCTACATATATTTTTAGCAGCATAATCAATAATTAATACAACTTGGAAGCAACCAAGATGCTTTTCCATTAATGAGTGGAGAAGCTGGAACATTGAAATCATGGAATATTATTTAGTACTATAATGAAATGAACTGCCAAGTAACAGAAAGACACAGAGGAAATCACAATGCATATTTATAGGTGGAAGAAAACCAAATGTGAATATAAGCTTCAGTTTCCAGCTACAGGACAGATAGTATTCCCCAGGAGCTGAATGTGTATGCAGAGATGAATACACAGAATGCAAGTGAATGGATTTGGGCAGTGAAAACATTCTGCTTGGTACTGAAATGATAGACACATATTATTACACATTGTGTGGACCCAAAGTGGGTAGCATTAAGCATGAGTCACAAGCTACAGAGTCTGGGTGATGATGATATATCCTTTTAGGTTTATCACTTAGGAGTGTGTACTACAATAATGGAAGATAGTGATGCTATAGGGACCTAGGCAGGTGTGAAGGCAAGGAACATATGGAAAATACTTGTATTTTCCTCTCAGGTTTGATGTGAACATACAACATGAAACAACCTTGAAAGCATTATGCCAAGTGACAGGGTCACATGTGAAATACCAAAAACATTAGGCAAATAATGTAGAGTCTCTGGGAAGACTGGCAAACAAGATGAAGCAAGGAACAACTGCAGAATGAATATTTGGTTTCCTTTCAGATTAATATTGGGAAGGAGACAGGTGGAGATACACTACTGATCATTAAATACTACTGAATTGTTTCCTTGAAATGTATAAATTTCATGTTATTTGAATTTTACCTTAATAAAAACATAAAGAGGCATAGTATAGTAAAACTCTAGGAAAGCAGAGATAAGGAAAAAAATCTTTAAAGCAACTAGTGAAAAGCGATTCAAATAGTCAGAAAGAATTAACAGACAACAAATAGAAAAATAAGTAAAGTGTTTTATTTAAATCCAACTATCATATTTTTGGCAGATTGAAGATTGAGGTTAGGTCCTCACACATGCTATGCAGTGCTCTATCACTAAACTACAGCCTCAATCCTTAATTTCAACTGTGTAAATAGTTACATTGAAAATTATTTTGTTAGACACACTAACTAAAGGACAGAGAGTACTGGAAAGGATGAGAAAGACATAGCTGGAAATGATATGCTTTAAATAGAAACACACAAGTAGATGTCTTCACAGATGTACTTCAAATACAGTGACACTGACGTATTGAAAATTAATGCACAGTGAGGATGCACCAGGGGAACAGTAAGCACCTTCCAAAAATAGCTCTAACACTTTGTATTCCTTCGAGTAACCACTGAGAATTATATTGCTCTACCTCAATGTTTTCTGTTGTCAATGACCAAGTTTTGACTGTTCTTTCTTTCTTTTTTAACACTTTGACATGGAGAATCTAGTTTTATTTATATTTTTTTACACGCTGACCCCAGTCCCCCCTCTTTCCCTTCCTCCTGCTCCCTCCTCCTCCCCCTCATCCCATTCCCCCTTTTACTCCTCCGAGAGGGTAAGGCCTCCCATGGGAGTCAATGAAGTCTGTCTCGTCACCACATAGAGGCAGGACCAAGGCCATCGCCCCCTGTGTCTAGGCTGAGCAAGGTATCTCTCCATTGGAATTTGACTACAAAAATCCAGTTCATGCATTAGGAATAGATCTTGGTCCCACTGCCAGTGACCCCACAAACTACCCAAATCACCCCCAGTCACCTATATGCAGGGTGTCTAGTTCGGTCCTATGCAGGTTCCCCAGATGACAGTCCAGAGTCTGTGAGCTCCCACTAGCTCAGGTCAGCTGTTTCTGTGGGTTTTCCCACCCGGGTCTTGACCCCTTTGCTTGTATTATAGGTCCTTCCTCTCTGCAACTGGACTCCAGAAGTTTGGCCTAGTGGCTGGTTGTAGATGTCTGTATCTTCTTCCATCAGTTACTGGATGAAGATTCTATTATGACAATTATGGTAGTCCTCGATCTGAGGACAGGGACCCACTGTACTATTTATTGATTAGAATTTTATCTGGGGCCATCTTTGTGTATTCCTGGGAATTTCCGTAGTACCAGGTCTCTGATAATTCCATAATAGTTCCCTCTAGGAAGATCATTTTTTCCTTGTTCTTCTCCGTCCTTCCCCCAGCTCAACCACCCCATTCCCTCTCGTTCACCTCCCCACTCCTCTTCTACCCTCCTCTCTCCCTCTCCTGCTCCCAGTTTACTCAGGAGATGTGTATTTCCCCTTCCTATGTGGATCCATGCCTCTCTTAGGATCCTCTTTGTTATCTAGCTTTTCTGGGGTTGTGGACTGTAGGTTGATTATCCTTTGTTCTATGTCTAATATCCACTTATGAGTAAGTACATACCATATTTGTCTTTTTGATTCTGGGTTACCTCACTCAGGATGGTTTTTTTCTAGTTCCATCCATTTGCCTGCCAATTTCAAGATGTCATTTTTTTTTAACCACTGAGCAATAATACTCCATTGTGTAAATCTACCATATTTTCTTTATCCATTTTTCAGTTGAAGGGCATCCAGGTTGTTTGCAGGTTCTGGCTATTATGAATAATGCTTCTATGAACATAGTTGAGAAAATGTCCTGTGGTATGAGTGTGCATCCTTTGAATATGCACAAAAGTGGTATTTCTGGATCTTGAGGTAGACTGAGTCCCAATTTTTAGAGAAGGTTTTAATTATTCCAATAGGTGTCTGGTGATATCTCATTGTTGTTTTATTTTGTATCACCTTGATGATGTATGAGGTGAAGTGTCTTTTGTAAACTTGTTTGCCACCTGTATATATTTTGGTAAGGTGTCTGTTAAGAACTGTAAAATATTTCACAGTTGTTTGGTTAGTGTTAATTGTTCTTTACATATTTTGAATAGCAGTCCTTTATCATATATATCTGTCACAAATTTTGTGGTGCTAGTTTTAGATGGAGGTAGATTTGTTCTATGTATGATTGTGAGTGACTTTCCTTTATTCATAATTCTTGAATTTTGTCAGGCTTCTGGTGTCTATGGAATGTTCAGTACTTTCAGCTATCAGCTATGCTGTTGGTAACCCTTGGTTGTTTATCTCCATAATATGGTGAGAATTGGGACTCTCTGGTTTCACTGACTTTTGTCTCAGGGTCTTGTATGAGAGTACAGTCACTCTATAAACTGGAGCATCAGTCAGAGACTAGTGGCTCTGCTTCCAAATTTTCTCCCATGGCTGTTAGAAGCAGCCTTTGGTTCTTTGTTGTGTAACCCTACTCATGACTCAAAAACTACTTTTTTTCCTCGGGAATGATTGGAGAGAGTGAGAGGCAGAGTTTGCTGACAGTGTTTGTAAACTCAATCTTGGATGTCAAATAATACTACATTGGCTCTGTTCTACTAACCCCACAGACCAACCCTGGTTTAATGTGAGAGGAACCACATGAGTTGAATAAAGTAGTAGGAAATCATTGAGGACCAATAGCTAATCCTGAATTTGTTCAAACCATTGAATTTGGAGTAAAAATTTTTCCACACAAAACTACAGCTACAGATATTTTCACTGCTGTTCCTATGAAATATTTATAAGAGAAAATGTTGGTTTAGAATTATTTTTAAAGGGCCTGTTCTCCTGGTCGGGCTCCATCCCCTCTGGCTCTTTCGGTTCTCTCTGCCTCTTCCCTGGTGTTCCCTGAGCTCTGAGGGGAGGGATTTGATGGAGACATCCCATGCTTATCTCATGCAGACAAATAGTGTGTCCTTTCATTTGCACTTCCTACATAAATACAAAAAAAAAAAAATCCATGTATGAAAGAAGTGACACTGTAGAGAGCAAAGAGGCCAAAAGGAGAGAGGTAAGAAAAGGAAGTGTCAGGGGCATGGGAGAATACGCTCAACATGCCATATACACTTATATAAAAATGTTTTTCAAAGTTTATTTTAAAAATTATAATACCTACTCTGCAAAGTCATTTGCTATATTGTAAGAAGACAATCTCCAGCTTCATTTTGCTGCTCCTAGGAGACAAAGGAACCATGGTGGCTTTTAATACACCCCCACCCCCTCCTGGTATAGACATGAGTAAGAACTTTGGAACTGTCATCACTGTGAGTGTGTCCTTGGACACATTACCTGGACAGTAGAATTCTGCATGCATGGCTTCTGTTTCTGAAGTTTAACTTTGCAGAAAGGTGTAATTTGTTACTATTTCTTCCCCACTAGGAAACAATCTGACAGCTCTGCCTAGTGCTATCTACAGTCTTATGTCACTGAAAGAGATCAATTTTGATGACAACCCTTTGCTGAGACCTCCGGTGGAAGTCTGTAAAGGAAAACAGCTGCACACTATTGCATGCTATCTCCAAAGAGCAGATGAAAGAGACGGTGGGTGATGAGTGAGGAACTGCCTTTGTACGAAATCTTCTGGTATCTGTTCAGCAAAGGCGCTTGCTTTGGCTGGAGACTTTGAGCTGGTAGTAACATTAAAATATTTATCAACTTCCTACACTATGCACATGGCTGCCATGTAGAAGCTTTCCTAAGAGTTGAGCCTGACTAATAGAAGAAATGAGAGAAAATTAAGTCACCATAGCTGTCTTCTTTAACTCACTGTAGGCTGACTATGATAATTACTACAGTCAAAGGGACTATTTCTATAAAATAAGAGTTTCAGAGTTCCAAGCGGCTATGTATTATTTTTGTTGTGGATAGTACCTCAGAGAAAGGTGGTTGAGTTACATGACTGAACCTCCATGCTAAAGTTCTGTTTCTCAAGTTCTCAAAGAAACATGATCCTTGCTACTCTACTTTTGACAGGGAAAGTGCAGTAGGCATTGACAACATCTCAAAGATTGGGGGAGGAGAGAAATCTAGACATTTAACACCTTTCTGTATGCCCAAGGAAAGACATTTATTTTAAGTTAACAAGGACCTTATTATTATCCAGCAATTTGGTTTTCTTTTTATTATTAGCATGAAATCTAGTCTGAGGAAATATATATATGAAAAGGCCAAAACGTATTTGAGATGATACAGAATATGGAAGAACCTTAATTCTTGAAAAGTCTCATAGTACTCTAGTCACCAAAGATGACTTTAGATCAAATGATGTAGAAGCCTCTGGTCAACAAAGACTTATCTAGATAACACTATCTAGAAGTTTATTACTTTAAAGAGGCACTGCTGGGTTTGAAAAGATGGTTCCATGGTCAAAACATAGTCTGCTTTTGCAAAGATCCTGAGTTCAGTTTGCAGCACCCATGTTGGGTAGCTCACAACTGCCTGAAATTCCAACCCCAAAGGTGTTGGCCTCTGTGGATACCTACACTCACATACAGCCTCCCCCACCAAAATATGCTCAATTCTTTTTTTTTTTTTTTGAGATAGGGTCTCTCTATGTAGTCCTAGAATTCACTATGTAGACCAGGCTAGCCTCGAACTCACAGAGATTGACTTCCTCTGCCTTCCCCAGTGCTGCTATTAAAGATATATGCTACCTACCTACCATGCTTAGCCTTTTTTTGTTTGTTGGTTGGTTTTGGTTTTTTGAGACAGGGTTTCTCTGTGTAACAGCCCTGGCTGTCCTGGAATTCACTTTGTAGACCAGGCTGGTCTCAAACTCAGAGATCCACCTGCCTCTGCTTCCTTAGTGCTGGGATTAAAGGTGTGTGCCACCACCACCTGGAATGCTAGCCTTTAATGAATTTTTAAAAAATAATATCTAACTAAATAACAAATTATTTTAATGCTAATATGCATCTACATACCATATTTACAATAGATGTTAATTTTTCAAATAGTTAATATAAAACAGCCAGAATTGAAGGAAGGAGTCAAATTCATTCCAAATCCAGAAAAAAAGTAAAGAATTTGGAGATCACTGTAAACATGCTTGTAAGATTCTCTTAAATCAGCTGTTTTAGGTTGTGGGTCTCCTCAGATTTTAGAGGAAACAGGATGGGAAGTACAAACTGTAGACAGTTAGCTCTATATTGCCATTTTCAATTTTATTTGACATTGATATTTGATAAAACAGAAGGAAATTAAATAATAACTCAAAGTGTCCTTTTTCAAAATAAATAATGTTTCTTCTATGTCCAAATGTAGAGAAAATTTTAGAGAAGATATTCAACATAGTTGCCAACACTATCACTGAAATAAACTTTGAATTTTTGAAACAAAAACTAAACATGACAACCTCAGAAAATAGCATCCTTGTAAGGAAGTAAGTATGAATGGAATTTGTACAAATGTATTTTCATGCTTGTATTTATGTGATCTTGATATTACATAGTTTTGAAATATTTACATTAATACAAACTCTACTGTAGATGGTGGCCTTTCACTTATGACATATTTGTGATCCTTGCTGGGCACCCAAACAATGTAATGTAGAAGAAGGAAGGACTGTACCAGGATAAACTACTGGGATTTTAGTCCAGCTGGCTTCCTGACCTTGAGCATGTCCTTTTCTTTCTCTCTGATTCAGTTTCTGCTGTGGTAAAATGAATACATGAGCTTAGAAAGTTGTCATGAAGATCAAGCGAGACCAAGCTATAAAGTTGCATTTTTTGTCATATTGGTTTACAGTAAATAACCCACAGTGATTATTGTCTCAATAGTTGAATATAAGTTGAAATGTGTGCTTTTTTATAAGAAAAAAAGGATGGAGCTAATGTTTTCTTCGGTGTGTCAGACTCATTGTAAATGTTCATGTATACTGTCTTCAGTTAAATTTACTTTTGCATTAGTGTGGAAAATGGATTTGGAAACTTGGACAACCTTTAAGTAGCTTAAAATAATATTCTTGGCTGGTAATTAAAATAATTATTATTTAAATTTTCACAGCCCTACTCCATTAAATGAAAGAATCTACAACGAATTTGTTAAGTGGAAAGCAGATAAGAACTTGTTATTCACAACGGCTGACTTAAGAGACCAACTTGTTCGGGCACTAAATATGATAGGAGCCTACGACATAATAGACAAGATCACAGCTTTGAATCTCTATACAAGTGTCATCAAACTCTAGCCAGTGCATCTGAAGCAGAGGCTGAAAACTTACGATGCACTTACAGAATTCATGTTGTTGATATAAGGGGAATTATTTGCATATCGTGCCTCTTTTTTGTTTTTAGTGGTTATTCTTTATATTTGTGTGTGTGTGAGTGTGTGTGAGTGTGTGTGTGTGTGTGTGTGTGTGTGTGTGTGTGTGTGTTGTGTGTGTGTGCATGCTTGTGCTTCAGTTGACATATGCAAGTCAAAGGGAAGCTACCAAGTGTCTGTTCTCTTGTTCCATCATGTAGATCTAGAGAATGCAACCAAGGCATCAGGCTTAGCCCATGCCATATCTCTTTATTCCTTACTAAGAAATGCTGAAAATCTGTGCCTAACATTCTAGTTTTTTTATGTCCATCTTTCTTTTTAATTACTTTTTATTTAAATAAAAAAATCTTATTTTGCGTAACAATCCCAGTTCCCTCTCCCTCCCATCCTCCCATCCCCCACAGTGAGGCCTCCCATGGGGGATTAGAAAAGTCTGTCACATCATTTGGGGCAGGACCTAGGCCACCCTCCATGTATCTAGGCTGAGAGAGTATCCCTCCATAGGGAATGGGCTCCCAAAGTCCATTCATGAACTCGGGATAAATACTGGTTCCACTGCCAGCAGCGCCGATAGACTGCCCAACCCTCCCAAATAACATCCTCGTTCAGGGGACCTGGTTAGGTCTTATGCAGGATTCACAGCTGTCACTGTAACGATAAATCTTTCCACCAGACACCCGAGCCCCGTTGCCACGTGGGCACCCAAAATAACACACAGAGACTTAGACTTATATTAGGTACAGTGCTGGGGGCCAATGACTAGGATTTCTTACTTGCTAGCTCATTCTTAATTATCAACCATAACTTTTAATCTATATATTTTATAAAGACTTATCTTACCAGATGCCAGAAGCAGGCGTCTTCTTTTGCCAGGATCACATGGTGGCTCCAGAAAAGAGAGGAGGAGGAGGAAGAGAGAGATTTTCTGCTTGTCCCTGCTTATATTCTGAGTCTGCCTGCTTTGTCACTTTCTGCCTGGATCACAAGACTTCTCTTTACTACATTTCCCAGAATCCTCCTTGACTCCTAGTCCCACCTAACTTGCTTCCCTATTGGCCAACAATGCTTTATTTATTAACCAATAAGACAAACATATTCATAGAAGGACCACCCCCATCATGTCACCATTCTAGTTTTATCATAAACAAAATGTGACAGACAAGGCTTTGTTATGTTTTTCTGTTGCATTAGCAATGCTACTGAATTTAAAAACAATTCTATTAAAACATTTAAATATAGTATTCTTGGGAGTCAAGAGGAATTTGTAATAGGTTGTTGGTGATTTCCATTGGGTTCAAGAAAGAAAATTTCTGACTTATAATGAAAATGGCACACCATCTCTGTTTTCCCCTCATTTAAATTAGGTGTCTTCAAAATCCATAAAATAGGACTAAGGCCAATATTCCTTCAGCTTTATGTCCTGCTGGGAATGGTGACAAGGTTATCTTTTATCTTCCCATCCTGTGTTTTCCCCCTTTCCTCTGCGACCAGAAATTCTCTTTCATGCAGAATCTATCACATGTATTTTATGTGCAACTGCCCTCGGTGCATGTAACATGTTTTCCTCTTCCTTGAAGGCACTAATATTAAGGTCTGGTTGGCTGTGGCAAGCCATTTGACTCAAATCAGGTCAGTGAGTTTCCCTTGGTCTTTTCTGGAGAACTTTCTGGGAAGATGATCTTTTTTTGTTGGGTGATTATGCATGTGGGAGTGTGTGCTCACCTGCCTAGTGTTGCATAGAGGAAGACAGACCACTCGTTATATTGTTTGGGTCTCAAATCTAACCATATCTGAAGCTCACGGTGCTTCTGAATGGTCCACTTTTACTTATTTAAGTGAGCATGACTCCCATGGGTTTCTACAACTTTGAATGGAAAGAGACCATTTTAAGTAGTTAAGTAGTTAATATTGTAGGAACAAATTTATCTTCTGGGTTGGAATTTGTATATATTTTGTCAGTTGTGAAATGCATTCTATGATACTGGTTCAACAGCAAAAAGACTACATCTCTAATCTCTCCCAATTTAAAATATTTTCCAGTAGGAATATTACTACCCTGGGTTTGTAACAGCTTAATGTCAGCTGCTTTCATAGACCTCATTAGAAGTGAGTGGGGTATTTTTACAGACCATTAGAGTGGGAAGAAACTTGCAAATCTCCTAGTGATATCAGTTCATTTTATAAATGAACAAATTGAAGACCGAGAAAACATAAGTGCTATAAATGAGAGGGGGAAGGAGAGAGGAGGAGGAGGAGGAGGGGGAGTATGGAGGGTGGGGAAGGAGAGAGGGGGACAAGTGAAGCAGAGAAGACTGGATGACATCAGAACAATGAAAGTACATTGTCCTTATTGTCTCTTGCCAAATTGCTATGATAACCTTTATATTTTAGTGTCTGTGTGTACATACAGTCTATGGTGCAACTATGGGGATCAGAGGACAACTTTATGTGGCTGTCTCTCCTTACTTGATTTTTGTTTCTGCTACATTGAGAACTCCAGGACAGTTGGCCTGGGAGCCAAGGGACAGTTCTCTTGTCTGCCTTCTTGCTAAAATATTTATTTATGTATTTACTTACTTACTTGTTTTGTCTGTTTGTTTTATTTGAGTCAGGGCCTTTCTATGCAGCTTTGGTTGGCTTGAAACTCATGCTATAGAACAGGCTGGCCTTTAATTCACAGAGATCAACCTGCCTCTGCCTCCCAAGTGCTGGAATGAAAGGTGGATATCATCACACTCAGTCATATTTTTATTTAAAAATAACAAACCCTTTATTTTTAAATCTAAATCTTCCCTTATTTTTTTTTATTCTCCAGTCAAGCTAAGTTGTTTGATAGTCCATCAGTGTGCTCTAAACTCTCACCTTTGTCCTTTGCATTTAATTTTCTTCTGCATGGGGCATACCTTCCTTTTCTTTGAGTAGCTATCCCTTCCTGGTTGATTTTACAGATCTCCTATGAGACCCTTTTGATGGGGGAGGTCCTTCTGTATATGTTTGTCTTATTGGTTGTTAAATAAAGTACTGTTGGCCAATAGGTAAGCAAGATAAGTGGGACTAGGAGTCAAGGAGGATTCTGGGAAATGTAGTAAAGAAATCCAGGTAGGAAGTGATATAGCAGGCAGACTCAGGATATAAGCAGGGACGAGAAGGAAATTGTCCTCTTGCTATTCCTCTTCCTTCTTCTCTCTGCTCTGGAGCTGCCATGTGATCCCAGCAAGACAGGACACATTCTGCCGGCGTCCCCCCCAAGATAAGTCTTATGATTATGGTTGATAATTAAGACTGAGGTAGCAAGTAATCATTGGCCAGCAGCATTGCACCTAATATTAATCTCTGTGTGTTATTTGGGGCCCTAAAGCTGTGGAAGGAACTTGGGTGGCTGGCAGAAAGCGCCCATGTGGCAGCAGGGCTTGGGTGGTTTTAGCGGAAAGATTTATTGTTACACCCTTTAGATCATGGGCATGCCACTTTAAGACCAAATTGACATCTTTAGGTCTGTACCTTGAGACAAAGAACAGACAAGCCCCTTACTGCTCTGCTCTGTCTCGTAGGATGGGTTTTAATAGGGTGTGTAAACAAATGTGCCTCCTTATCTCTGCCACTGGTGTCCACTCTAGATAACCACTGATGCAAGAAATTGATTACATTGCATACAAATATGTCACTCTGATTGGTTTAATAAAGACCTGAATGGCCAAGAGCTAGGCCTGGTTTCCACACACAGAAGATGCTGGGAAGAAGAAGGGTGGAGTCACGAGGAGATGCCATGAGACACAGCCTGCAGGATGGACAATACGGAGATGAGGTAAATGAGCCACATGGTAGCACATAGATTAGTAGAAATGGGTTAATTTAAGTTAGAAAATCAGCTAAAAACAAGCCTAAGCTGTTGGCCAAACTTTCATAATTAATAAGAAGTCTCTGTGTGGTCATTTGGGAGCTGGCAGGAGAGACAGAAAAGTCTGACTACTCGACACTGTGAAGGGAAGTTTTTAAAGGGCAGCATTTGTCTCCCTAGAGCTCACATACTATTCTCTTTTATCTCTCTCTCTTTCCATTTCTCTCTCTCTCTCTGTCTCTCTCTCTCTCTCTCATCTCTGTCTCTCTCAACATTTTCCATTCTTATAGCCTGTCTTGTTGCCTCTGGCATGATGAACTGTCCCTCACAGTGTATTCCTCCATCATGACCTCCAGAGCTATATAGTCTCCTAAAGTGAGAAATTACCAATACGGAGTCAAGTAGAAATATAAGGGCATTTAATAGGGAAAAGTCTTACTTACAGAGCGACCCAGCCAGCTGGCGCAGCAGCAGTCTGTACAGCAAGCAGAAAAGCAAAAGCGAAAGCCAAACCCAGCCATCTGAAACTCTCACTCTACGTCACCCTGACCACACCCTCATAAATCTCATTTATCTGAAGTATAATTTGTCTTAGCTCATTTAATAAGCTGAACTGCTGCTCACTCTTTCCTCCTCAATGAGACTTGACACAGGTCAACAACCAAAGATGAAAACTGGTATGAAATTATAAATACATAGAAAACCAACTATAAGAATCTCTCTTTAAAGATCTGACTTGAACAAGGGGGAGCTCTTGGTACCCAGACTGATAGCTTGGAAACCAGCATGGTACTGATTCAGACCCCATGAACATGGGTGTCAGTGAGAAGACCTCAGAATCCATGGGGCCTCCTGTAGTAGATCAGTACTTATCCCTAGCATAGGTATGGACTTTGGGAGCCCATTACACATAGAGGGATACTCCCTGAGCCAAGACACATGGGGGTGGGCCTAGGCCCTATCCCAAAGAATATGACAGACCCCTATGGAAGGCCTCACTCTCCCTGGGGAGCAGAAAGGGTATGTCATAGAGACAGGGTTTTAGTGGGGGGGAGACTGGCAGGGGAGGAGGGGAGGGAGAGGGAACT